AAATTTTATTATTTTGCCCTATACCCCTATAAACAGTATATATACAGGAAAGAAAGAGAAATAAATATATATTTCATACCGTAAGCCCTAATAACTCCTAAAAACGAGAGAAATTAATATCTCCCAAACTGTAAGTCTTTTAACCTTATAATAACCCTTTACCCTATAGCCGTATAAGTTATGTGCCAGGAAGAAAAAATGTGAATATAAATAATAACCGAGAGCTTTAAAATTTTGGACTATGTCCAAACTTATTATTGATTTCTTGTATCCTGTATCCATAAAATCTATGAAAACGGCATGAGTACTGCAGTGGTAAGTATACTTATATTCCTACAGATAGTGGCATAGCGCTTGAAATGAGCTTTAATTTGAACTGCAAATAGATATTCGTAGGAGCCGGAGAAATGACAATTCAAAGTCACCTATCCCAATGAGTTTTTTTTCTGTTAAAAAAATTATTTAAAAACAGAATGAGTACTGTAAGGGTAAGTATAGTAAAAGTATATTTTTAATATTTTAAAGATTGTGCTTGAAATAACTAATAAGCTTTAATTTGAGCTGCAAATAGATGGGAAAGTTTGCCTTGCAAGCTCGATCCAGATAGCAGCATGTACATAGCTTTTATCATGTCTGCCGCGTTTGCGCGTTGCACGCTGAGTGAGCGAGGCAGAATCAATTTATAAATTAAAATTTGAATGAAATTTTTATTACATAAAAATCGTAAAGACAAACTTATTTTTGCAAAGGTAATGAAATCACCTTGTAAAGAAACTTGCAGGTATAAATGCAACAAAAAAATAAATGAAGAAGCTAGAAAAGTAATTTTTGACGAATTGTGGAACCTTGGAGATCATACTCGGCAGTGGGATTTTCTTTTAAGGTGCGTGACACAACGAGAAAAAGAGCAGGCTACTGTACATAATAAATATTCCAGAAGGAATTTCTGTCGCAATTATAAGTTTGTCATTGACAACAATGAGAAACAAATTTGCAAAACGATGTTCTTAAATATGCTTGCAATTTCTGAAACAGTTGTAAGCACCGCTTTGCAAAAAAATGGTGAAGGTGATACTGTAGAACGAGACAGAAGAGAAAAACACAACATTAGACCGCATAAAAACCCGGATGCTCTAATAAAAAACATTATGGAACACATAAAACTTTTTCCACTTATGCCTTCTTATTATACAAGAAAAAACTCAAAAGGAATGTACTTGGAAGATGGTTTGAGTATTTCACGAATGCACAGAATGTATTTAGAATATGCAAAACAAAAATGGGATGCAGTAGCTACACTCAGACAATACAGGGATACTCTTAATTCGAAATTTAATATATGTAGCTTTCTTTAAGCCAAGAAAAGATCACTATTTCGTGTGTAGTGCCTATGGGAATATAGATCCCGAGAAGAGAACAGAAAAAATGGAAGATGATTATAATAATCATAATTTAAACAAAAATGTGGTTAGAAATCTGAGACATTGATAAAGAATTGTCGAAAAATGACAAATCTCTAATAACAGCATGCTTTGATTTGCAGAAGCTGTTAGTAACGCACAAGTCAGAAGTCAGCGATTTGTATTATAAAAGTAAAATCGCAACATACAACTTTACAATTTATGATTTAGGCAGCAATCAAGGCTATTGCTATGTATGGCTATGGCATGAGCAAATATCGAAGAGAGGACCGGATGAAATTGGAAGTTGTTTATGGATCTTTTTAAAGTGTTAAAGAAAATGGGATACGAAAGGTTATTCTTTATTCCGACAATTGCGGTGGTCAAAACCGTAATCGTTTTGTTTTTGCGATGTTTGCTTATGCATCAATGACTTTGGATTTGAAAATAACACACCATTTTCTTGAAATTGGCCACACTCAGAATGAAAATGACAGCATACATGCTGTGATTGAAGTTGCAAAAAAACGTCACTCTGCTATATACACTCCTGATAGTCCTGATCAGTGGATTAGTCTAATAAAAATGGCCAAAGTTACTGCCCTACAGTACAAAGTAAAAGAAATGTCTCAAGAAGATTTTGTAACTTTTAAACCAATGGTAAAGAAATAAAACTGGAAAAAAGATATTACTGGAGAGGCTGTAAAAATCAGCAAAATCAGAGAAATCCACTGCGATCCAGTCTCCCAATAAAGTATTTTTTATGTATAATTTTGGAGAAAATCATAAAGAACTAGACTTACAAACAAAAAAACACACGCAAACGCGAAGAATATCAATTTCCAAGATTGTATCAAGGTTTGCTGCCAATTGATGGTAAAAAATTAAGCGGTCTTTTGGGTCTGTGTAAGGCTAATTTGAGACCGATGTATCATGGATTTTACAACTACCTTCGGCCTGCCAGTAAGACGTCTGTCTGACTGAATCCTAATAAATTTTCCTTTTATGTAATTATTGATTATTAACAATTATTTTTTTTATCTAAAAATGTTTAATTTTTCTGTTCCTTATTAGTGTAGCAATAAAAATTTTGTCGACGAAAACTGGAGTAACTCATTCAGAATCCATTTCTTTCTTATCCTAAACTATTTTATTTAAATCATCAATAATTAATTAAGACCTAAACAATAATTACTTTGTTAAAGAAGAACGATTTAGCTCTTGTAATAAAAAAAATAACGAACATTATTATTTTCTCAACTATTCAAATGCAATTATCTCAGTATAACCAAATTTGGGATACGACAGTTTTCCTTGGGAGAGTCGACATGCACACTAATAACAGACAAAACCAAATAGGCCCCGATTTCGATTTTTCCCGACGGCCCCTGAAAGAACCAGGCCGGGCCTGCGCGCAACTGTCAGAAATAGATAGATAATTTTATTCTACACAAAAAATGAATACCTATCGAAAGTCGAAATTATGCTCAGTTATGAAGATATTACAGAAAATATTTATTAACCCATACCCCATATTTTTTGGAAATAACTACGTATCCATAACATGATAATTTCGAGTCACTGTCAAGTTTGCTTGTTTGTTTGCAAAAGTTTGTTTCTGAAAATGCCTCGTCACAATGAATTTACGAATTATGAAATGAGAGACATGATAGTGGTATATGTACAGGAACATTTTAGTGGACGCGCTGCTAAAAACTTTAATGAAGGACTTTATTCGAATGGCAGATAGCCTTCTCATACACTGTTTGCTTCAATATTCGCCAGATTAGGAGAAACTGGAAACTTTCGGTCTAATGCACGAAATGGAAGGTACCTACCTTCAAAGAACACAAGACGAAGACAAACAAGACAAGACAAGACGACAAGACGAAGAACAAATTCTAGAAATAGTAGAAAAAAATTGGTATTCGCTGTTTGTCAGCAGTCACAGGAATTGACCGCAAGACTGTTTTAACTATATTCCACAGGCAGCAGTTTCCATTTTCACCCTGTACAAAGTTTGCTTGAACCAGACCGCCCGCTGAGATTTATGACATTTTGCGAACGATTTCTCAAGTTACATAACAGGGATCACACTTTTCTTGGGAGAATTGCCTTACAGAGGAAGCTATTTTTACCCGTAGAGGTGTTTTTAATTGGAAAAACTCTCACGTGTAGAGCGAAGAAAATACACACGCAATAAAAGAGCATCACTTCCAACATGAATTTTCGCTGAAATTTAATGCGGGATTATAGGAAATTTTATTTTGGGGCCTATCGCTCTACCTGGAAGGTCGAACGGCGAAAATTATTTGGAATTACTTAGGCAAGAACTTCCTGGGGCTCTCGAAGAAGTACCCATTAATACTAGACGACAAATGTGGTTCATATACTATGGTGCCCCTGCTCATTACAGCCGTTTGGTGAGAGATCATTTAAATGAAGCATATCCAAACCGTTGGTCGAGGTAGTGACTTTCTTGACCTTCTCGCTGTCCGAATTTTAACCCGTTAGACTCTTACATTTGGGGTTATTTGAAAAGAATTGTTTACAACTCTGTAACACCTAATACGGGAGAAGAACTTTGGGACAGAATAAAAGACGCCATACGACAAGTTAAACGAACGTATAATTCGTTTTTTATTCTCAACAGTTTCATAAAACGTTTAAGAAAATGTGTCGAAGAGTATGGAGGACAATTATTATAATTTTTTATTACAGCCAACTTTCAGTTTATTATATTATTTATTATGTTTATTATGGATACGTAGTTATTTTCAAAAAATATGGGGTATGTGTTAATAAATATTTCCTGTAATAACTTCATAACCGAGCATAATTTCGACTTTTCATAGGTAGGTATCTATTTTTTGTGTAGAATAAAATTCTCTACCTATTTCTGATAGTTGCTTGTAAAAATTTAAATATACAAAAAAGTTATAGAAGGGTTGTAGTAAAATAAACGTTCTGTATGATTTAACCTAATAGGAACATAATCACTGCATACTTCATGGAGAGAAACTAGGCAACAGCAAATTTTGCTCAAATCGGTTGACTGGGTTCTGAGTTAAGGAGGAAACAAGAAATAAAAAAAGAAATTTTAACACCCTGTAATTTTTTGCGACATTTGGGTTCTTTATTATACTTTTGAAATATGTATCATTCGTAAGTGACACCCCGTATAATTTGAAAATTTTAAGAAAAATTTATCATTTATTATCAAAACACGTGGAGGTTTTCAATTTGAAGCTTAAAAGAGTGTCAAATTAAAAATGCAAAAAAGTAACTATTTGGACAATAAGTTCAATGAAAAATTATAATATAGGTAACTGTTTGAAATTTTGACATTTTAGTTCTAATTGTCCAAGGTAGGAAGTCAGCAGAAGTAAGTAAGATTAGTAATAGTATTTTTTGACTTCATAATATATTTGTTGTATATTTGTTGAATACAAATTTATTATTATATTTTAACAATTTCATCATTTATAAACAACACGAGTGAGTTACTCTGAAACCTCACATTTTAATATTAAACAATACGAGGAACTGGGGGAAAAATTATTTGTAAAATAATAAAATATCAGTATTACTTATTTATTATATACATTGTTATACTAGAAACTTTAATCTGATGAGGTATTTATTTATATTCATACATTTAATAACGGAATGGTCGGGGGTATTGCGGTTTATAAGAACTTTGTGGATATGTACTTTGGGGAAAAGTATTTTGCGATTGTGGTTGTTTTTGGGCCTGTGCTATTAGTGCCAGGGATTGTTGGATAGCTTCTGGAATTGGTGGCGGAGTTGGCAGATGGGCACCTTCTGCACGAAATCCAAATTCATCAGCAATGTATGTGACGGTAATGGGTGTTCCATCTGATGCTGTGTATGAATAGGAACCTTGGATAACTTCAGCCTCTGTATCTTTATTACCAGCGTTTTTTAAATAACCTTGAGCTTGAGCTTGCTGACCATCTCCAGTAGTATAGCTTTAATAAAACATACAGATATCATCAAAGTTTTAGTCATGTTGACTTCAAGAAAACATATTAACATATAAATCATTCTTTTTAAATTATTACACTTTTTGTTCTATTTTTATGAACAAACTGAGATGAATTTAAATTATTTAAAATTTAAATAATATAAACAAGAACACAATACGGTGAAGGTTAATGTTGTATAATGTTATTCTATAAAATTTGTAACAAATCAGTAATTTTCTCTTGTTAAACAAAACATTGCTAACACAAATGTTTGATGCTTTTTATATACATACAGAGTATCCCAGAAATATATCCCAACATTTTACCTAGTATCATCAAAAGTAACAACTTTTATCAATTAAATTTTCTCGATACTAACATTTTTGTCCGGTGTTTTATACCAATTAAAATATTATATATTATTTTTTGCTAGCCTAAATATTAAATACTAGCACTAGTTACTTCTCATTTTTTGCACTTCGTTTTGTTTACTATTAACTACTAAGCGTTTCAACTTACATTGGTGAATAAAAGTTATTTGAGAAGATTTTACTTTTGAGGAGTTAAAAATGTGGTTAAAATTTTGGCACTTATTTTATTTTCAAGCCAGTTTGTATATCTTGTAAAAAATTAGTACAAACTTGCAAAATTGATTAAACAGTTTAGAAGGTTCTGCAATAAACAAACTTATCTGGACCGTATTATTATTTGAACAGTATTTTAGAACAGATGGCTCGAATTTCAATTTATATTAATTAATTTATTTATTTTTTCGCCAAGAAAAACTCGATGGCATCTGCCTTACCATTTTAAATTTCTCTTTCTATTCCAGTTTAATGACATACTGTGTTAAAACAACTTTGACAAAAATTGGAAAACCGTATTCGGGATTTATTTTAAAAATAAACTGATCACGTAATTGAATTGTACGTGTCAATATTTATATACCATTTCATTCTGATAAGTTACAAGGTGCGTTTACTTTAGTAAGTGCAATTTTGAAAATGCAACTTTTGGATGATCGTCTATATCTGACAATTCATCAAGTTGAGTCGTATCGGGTATGTTTATAAGCAAATTGTCTCTCTATACAGGGTGTTTCAGTTCAAATGAATCAAACTTTAATCACAAACAGAACACAATAAATAATTCAGAATTGCCTTATAAAGCAAGGGTCTAAGTCTCACCGGTTTCACTCTTCAGGGCCGCATTGGTCAGTTGTTAAAATCATATTATTTACGAAATCTTCGATACGCTTATGATAGATTGATTCAAATTTGGTGTAGTGTTAACATTTACACATGTGCATAATTGACTGTAAAATTTACAAATTTTTGTAGGCAGTAGAATGGGTAGGTAGTAAAACGGGATTTTTTACCCCAATTTCTACGCCAATGACATAATAATCATTTGGGATTCATTTTTAGATTTCGTGGACAATATTACATAAAAAAGGTATACTTGTTGAAAATCGGTATAGTGTATAGTTTTATTGAAAATCTCAGTTGAATGGGAGACCGTTCTTCTGATATCGAATATTCATCCATTTTTTTACAAACACTAACTAATATTTCAAATCATAAAAATAAAATTACAGTTTCTGATGACAGGTAAGTCTATTATTGCTTAGTTGTTTTTTCATGGCAATCGTTGTTAGTACGGATAATGTAATGAACGCACAGCGCAGATTTAAAATTAATATGTACCTAGTGTAATTTTTTAAAGAAATTATATCTGTTTGAAGTAAACGAACCAATGAATGAGCACGGATACCTGTAATTGCTTCAGAATGGCACAAATGAAATTTTACAGGAGGTGCCATTGAATATGCTGTCCACCGCACTATAGTGCAACAAAAAATGAGCTTAGAGGGGGAATTCACCACATTACGAATGCAATGAATAATACACAAGAGATTATATTTATAATTTACCAGTCGTTTCGCCGATGTAAAGACATTATTTAATATTGTTTTGAATTCTAAGATAATGCGTGACATTATAATAATATTAATTTAAAATTTATTTCTTATCCTTAAGAAACTAAATTTCTTATCAGAAGAACGTTATCCCATTCAACTGAGATTTTTGCTAAAACGATACACTATACCGATTTTCATCAAGTATACCTTTTTTATGCACAATTATCCACGGAATCTAAAAATGAATCCCAAATGATTATTAGGTCATTGGCGTAGAAGCTGGGATAAAAAAATCCCACTTCACTATTCATTCCTACGCCACTGACCTACAAAAATTTGTATATTTTGCAGTAAATTATGCACATGTATAAATGTTAACACCACACCAAATTTGAATCAATTTGTTATAAGGATACCGAAGATTTCGTAAATAATATGATTTTAACAACCGACCAATACGGCCCTGTAGGTACAGTGAAAACGGTGAGACTTACACCCTTGCTTTATAAGGCAATTCTGAATTATTTATTGAGTTCTATATGTGGTTAAAGTTTAATTCACTCGAACTGAAACACCCTGTAAATACGTAGAAAAAATAAGTCGTTACTAATATCCAATAATTTATACGCAATGTAGAAAGGGCCATATAAACAATCACTATTACTGGACATAATATTACACTATAATGATAAATTTGTTAAACAAATACAGAAATGTCGATAATATAAACATTGCACACACCATTTCGTTGAAAATTCTTCAAGTTATTGCTCCTTATCCTTATTTTGCTGTTGCATTTACTTAGTTTCCTATTTACTTAGTTTCCTATTTACTTTTATCATAGAGGGTATCCCAGGAATAAGTGCCAAAATTTTAACCACATATTTAACGCTTTATAAGCAACAAGTTTAATCTATTTTTTCAGAAAAAAAAAGTGGAATAATGAGAATCCTAAAGAAACACTACAACAATGACATTATCTGATAGCCACAGCAATCAACATCTTGTTTTCCTCGCCTACTGACCTCAAAGTTTTGAATCCGTGACACTGCTACGCAAACCGAAACGCACAGACCTGCAAACATTTTTCTCAAGAATGGCTTTCTGTAGGCTATTTTGTCAAGACAATATTTTTTTTAAATAAAACGACCTTTTCAATGTTGCTGCCCGTTCTAAAAAAATACAACCACTGTAAAAGTTTTGACCGCTAAAAGGGGGAGGTAACCGGAGAAAATTATCACCCAGTATATCGATTTGAATAAAGCTTTAGGAAATAATATTCTATAATAGACCAAATAAATGTGCCAAATTTTAACGCGATTAAGCCTCCGTCACCTGTTCATATATAATTCGATAAGTTGTTGCGTCAAAATTAAAACATTATTACAATTTTAATTTCATTAGGACAAATTAATTCTTAAAAATTACAAATGAATATTTTACTTTAAAAAATTGCAATAAATATTCAAAAACGTTTCCGTTTTGGCAAATTTTGAAAATGAAGATAAGCTTAATATGATCGAAATTTATTATACCTGCAACCGCAACTGTGAAAGAGATGTAGGTATTTGTATGAATATCCTGAAAAAAATTAGATCGAAATTTGTTTGAATTTTGAGCACTCGAGAAATAATAATAATAATAGAAATAACTATGAGCACGGGATTAAAACTCTAATAATGTTTTATTGTAACGGGTGATGGTAATAGTTTAAATAACTAGGTGGATTTCTCAGTATCTAACGACACTTGGAGTGTAAGATAATTTAATAAACATATAAATCTAAAAAAAAATTAGACAAATTTGGAACGAATAGGTACATTGAAGATGAATTTTTCGAGACAAAAGCGTCTGAATCTGGTTCGAGCTGAGGCAGTACAGTATTGGAAGTTATGAAGGCTCGCAAAAATTTCCAGGATCGTATTTAAAAAAAATTAAGTTGATGATGGTCCTGGAAACACGAAACGTTATATATAAAAATTGATTATGCCATTCGATAGAGGGCAAAAAGTTGGCATGAGAAGGTGTTCTTCTTTTTTCAATATCACCTCAAACAAGGCTGAAATTAAACAAAAATGGATTTGCAAAATTTCGGTTTTTTAAATATTTCGAAAACTAATCATGTTAGCCTTTATTTTTTAGAGGCATCATGTTGGTCCCCTGATTATGCAACTTTGCCCCCATTTAAACTACTTCGTATCTCTTACCCTTTCCAAGATCCCTGTAGTGATTGTAACAGCCTGTATATTGCCAGATATTAATGCATAGTTACAATGCTAGCAAATACCTATAGCTTATTACATTAAGAAGGTCTGACTGCATTGTCTCTAAGACACCGATCAGCTTTTATCGCTCTGTACAGAGACATCTCCTGTTACAAAATATATCCTAAAACATTTTATAGTCTCTTCTAAATTTCTTCATTTTAAAAATTGTAATTACTAGTACTACTTACTAAAGCAGGCGCGGATCCAAGAGGGGGCAATGGAGACAATTAAAATTTTAAACAAATTTTACAATAAACAAAAGTATTTTATAATTTTTCAAACTGTATAGGTAGGTGCATTAAGTAAAAGAAATTAATTAGTCGAATTTACTTTAGAAATTATTTTGTAACGTTTTTATTTTGTAGGTATAAATTTTCAGAACAGTTTAATCAAAATTTCCTTTTTTTCTTACTTTAGTAATATTGATGATAATATATGAATATGTTTACTATACAGGGTGTCCTTTAAAGAATGGGAAAACATTACCACTAGATTATATGACGAAAATCAATGGGGAAGTCATATATAATGTTGCTCATAAACGCTCAGTTTTCGAGATACAGGGTTTTAAAGTTGAAAAAAAACATTTCGTATGTGGGGTTTTTTTGGGATGAAAAATTCGAATTTATTGGCGATTTTGATGTATCTTAGAACGCAACTGCCAAAACTTTTTTGTGTCACAGTGTATTTCACTTTGGGTTAGAAAAATCTTTTCCCCCAACTGTAAAACCAACCGTTTTCAACAAAAAGGCATTTAAATTTGTAAATGCATAAAAAAATTTGTTTAAAAGTTATTTTCAATACTGACGAACGAAATTAGGAGCAATCGTTTATTAGCAAGAAATATGTCGTTAAAGGAAACGGTGCACTTGCAATTGTAAACTTCGTTTATTTAACAATTTTACTGCAAATAGAATTGACAAGTAAAAAAACATACTTTCTAAAATCAATCTAATCAATCTAACACAACCAAAACAATGTAAATGACCTAAAAATCTAAAAATTAACTAATTATTAAAATATATGTTTTTCAATGTTTATCAGTGCAGTGAAGATGAAAATAACTTATAACAATTTTTTTTATGCAGTTACAAATTTAAATGATTTTTTGTTGAAAACGGTTGGCTTTAGAGACAGCAAGGTATACCTTTTTTAAGCAGAAAAGTTGGGGGAAAAGATTTCTTCAGCCCAAAGTGGAATACACCGTGGCACAAAAAAATCTTGGCAGTTTAAATGCGTCCTAATGGACGCCAAATTTCTCATTCCAAAAAAAAACCGTATATGAAATATTCCGAAATTAGCAGTAGTAGAAATATATTAAAGAAAATGTTATTTATTTTTTCAACATCAACACCCCTGTATCTCGAAAACTAAGCGTTTATGAGCATCATTGTATACGACTTTTCCCCATTAATTTTCGTCGCAGAATCTAGTAGTAAAGCTTGGTCCATTCATTAACGAACACCCCGTATATATGTATATTTAAAGAATTAAATATATGGTTGCTAATAATGTTTAAATTAACAAAGTAAAAAATCATTGTGAATTATCCATGTAATCATGCGCAACTTTGCTAGTTATACTTGACTTTCCGATTCTGAATCTCTTTGCAATGAGCCGAGAGATGGCCATACTGTATAATATTTAATACTTATAAAGTATTGTACGAGTTATATTAACACTACATATTAATATAAACTAAAATATTAAGTGTAACACCATACCTGTAACTAAAAGATCCATCTGGATTAATTTCATTGCTTTCCGCAATAATAGGTACAAATGGCTTTACTGTGTGTGATTGTTGTTGGTAATAATTTTGAGGGACTGCAAGCACTGCTGTTGTGCACATACAACAAATTAAAATCTGAAAAATTATAAATCATCAATAAACTATCTCATGCTTATGTACGTACCGATTTTAGGTACTAGTGGTCTATAAACTTTGCATTTTTGTGGAGATACTATTAGTAGTTTTTCTCTATTAAAACTTCTACAACAAAAAATGTATAATCCAAGTCATATTCATAAAAAAATATTATACAAGTATATAAACTAGTGTCATAACTGAAATGACGGTCAATGATTTTTAGACTATTTTCGAAAATCTACCAGAAACGATTCTAACATTAATCTGCATACTTTAAAACTTTCTAATCATTTCGTGTTTAAAAACATACCTCGTTTGACAAGTTCTGTAAGATATTTATTAAATATATTTCTAATCTACTAACACACAAACACGAATAAGTAAAAAACGTCCTAATATTAGTACAAAATATAATTTTTCTTTATTAATTTTTTTAGTATTTTGCCACCTGTAAACAAATTTAAAAATTAGAGAAAAAACCCTTGCTCCAAAAGGATCGATCAAGGGTAACTTTTGTAAAAAAATTGCTTAACCCAAAAGCACACACTGAAAACGTAACTAAAACGAGAAGTCAAAAAAAGTCAAAAGAAGACGAAAACAGATAGATTTTCAAAACGTTAACAACTTTTTAAAGTGATGTGTTTTTGTATTTGTCTGCTTTTTCCGTGTGAGATTTTTCGGTTAGGCAATTTTTTTTTTTCATAAAAATAACCGTTGAATAATCCTTCTGGTGCAAGGAATTATTTCACTAATTTCAAAATTTTATTACAGGTGTCAAAATAACCAAAAAATAAATAAAACGAAAAATATGCCACAGATAAATAAGATATAAATTAATTAAAAAATTCTTCCCTTTAAAAAATCCATGACATCATAGCTTTAGGTTATTCCGTACACATAAAATCATAAAATATGCTCAATTATTAATTCTTAAAAACTAGCACTTACCAGAAACATTTTACTTTTATTAAACCCAAGAAATAATCAAGCACGTACAATGGGTAATATTAAAACTGTTAAAACATCATCTAGATATATAATAGACTCCCACCGACTTTGTGGTTTATTCTAGCATACCCTTCCCCAAAGTTAAAGATTTCTTAAAAAACTCAGAAGGTCAGTTAATATTTTTTCGGTATTTATCACATTAAAAATTCAGTAGATGGTTCGCAGCGTTAAGGATGTATCATTGAAAGTACTTATTTATGTAGATTTAATCCATAGATATCACAATTGTGTTGTAAACTAAATTCATTTCGGAAATATGTCTTTGTTTCCATAAAAATTAACATCCCTCTACTACAGTTTTGTTTTTATTAAAGTTTAAGATTACTTTATTCGAAAGTAATGAATTTAAATTCGTAAACCAGACCATTTGCTCTCATTGATTTCACTAGTAGATATTCAAAATTAATTTTTATTATTTTTAATGGTAATCAAGAAATTAATTAATAATAAAATTTTAAAATAATATAAAGGATTAATATATTCGTATGAATCACATTTTGTTTTTTATTTATTAGGAGAATTAGAATATATATACATAGGTATTCGAAATTACTAAAAAAATTTCTATACATTTTTCTACCAAACAACTAGGTACTTTCAATGGTGGTAGTAAGTTTAATAAAAATTTAGAATATATTAATAATTTTTAAATGACTCTTTGAAATTTCGAGTACAATTGAAAATACCTTATTTGTTACAAGTAGAACTAGAAATTAGAAACATTGTTTGAATTTTCAAAATACTCGGTGGAATTGAAATTCTGATGTAACTTCCCCGCTAACATCTCCTACATTGATTGTCAGATTTATTATGCCATTTAAGTAAGAAAAAAATCAACAGCTTTAGTCTCTTAAACAGCTTAAACTTAAAATGACTAAAGAACGACTTTATAACACAGTTATAAAATATACTACATAGGTCTGTATAGGTACGTATTCAGTTTTATTCATTTCGTTTTGTTGTTTCCTGTATGCTATTTCAGAACGTATTATGGATTTTACTCCATAACATGATGCCTTATTTTCGAAATGGAACTCGAAATGAAGAAACATTAACTATGACACTTTCTTAAACCGAAAATGTGTTATCGTCAAATGATTTGAAACCAAATCCTGCGTTTGCAAAGTAAAATCTACGAGTACACCAACTGTACTTACAGAAAATGTCAATAATATACAGCAACGAATAAATCAAAGTCCCACAAAGTCCGTATCAAAGTTATCTGCTCAAACAGGTATTTTTTTTAAATTCGTGCAAATATTCTCAAATTTAGTTTCTATCTCTAAACTATTTAAACTTTGAAAATTTTATTCGAATTTGAGATCAGATTAAAGTATAGTTAATATCCTAAAATGTCATTTTATTTTAGGGCTTTCAATTGAAACATGTCATAAAACTTAAAAAAAAAAACAACTGCATATACACCCATACAAGGCAACTGTTGTGTAAAAATTATTTCCCATCCATCCCAAACGAGACCTCCCCTTCCTTCCTAGTCAGGATCAAGATCAATTAGAGGTCAGATTGAGAAAAAGTGCATTAAATTAAACGATCTAGGAGTTTAGGTTAATTTAACCACAAACCAGAACAAAACGGAACGGTTGTCCGGAAAGGTCATGTCAAAAATGAAGGGGTGTATAGGGGAGCTCAAAATAGTTGTAGTACTTCAAAAAAAAAATTTATTTCTATCGGGCTTCGTTGTGGTTATCTGCCTTCAAAGAAAGACGTTTGAAAAACAAATTCCAATTATAACTTCTATGTCGTTCTTTTCCAAGTTTAAACTGATATTCAATATACCTGGATTATACAGGAGCAGACGAAATTATCCATTTAAATTTATACATCTTTGACAGTGTTGCCAAATTTGACATTTTTCTTTACCCAACATATCCCTGTTTTCATATTCCTTTTGTAGGTCGAGGTTTTAGGAGAACACATGTTTTTTGAAACGTCACTTTATTTGCTGACAAAAAAGTATGTGTATTTCGCTTCCTAAGGAAAATGGAGTTTAAAATTCTATTATAGTTACCAGTAAGAGATAGTCGAATACTTAGAGATATTCTAATTCAATGTTTCTTAAGATTTAGAACATCATACCTCCGTTCAAAAGTCCACAGTTTCTGAAATATATCTATTTGCGGTACCACATTTAGAGGGCTATATCTCGGTAGACATTAGCTTTTTAATAAAAGTAAAATTATCTTAATAGTAAATAATATTTAACATAGTTACCAATTTAATAAAAAAAATTAAGATTAATAAGACTACTCTCTCGGTACTCGACTGCCCGTCATTGAGAAACGCACTAGAAAATTTATAATTCATTTTTCTATCTACTTTAAGAATACTTTTTTGCAGTAAATAAATTAATATATCATACAAGAGTAATTGTAACTACCAATTAATTGCAAAAAATTTCCAAAATGAACTCTCTTAGAAAAATTGCAATATATTCTTACTTTGCCTTAATTTTTATCCACGTGTAACATGTAATTCTAAATATTTTGTCATATTTGATATACAGCTGTACAATATCCAAAACTTTTAGTAATATTTAAACGTTAACATTTATCCACATTTATTTAATTAAGAATATTTACTCGTATAAATCTTACGACTTATTAATTGTTAATAACATAGATCCATAATTTTAATATACTACCATCTGGCATTCGACATTAATGCAACATGACATAAAATCTGCCGGTCAGATTCTACGGATAATTCTATTAATAATTCACAAAGCAAGCCGAATAACAAAAGATTACACTACTGGAGAATAGTAATCTTTTTTTATTAACATAACCTGTAGGAGGAACTTTGATGCACCTATGCCCAACCTATAACCTAATAAGGAACATAACAATCATCTTGCTTCTACTTAGATTTATTAATTTGATGGTCGTACCTGTTAACACAGAATTTCGTAATGAAATTTTGCTCGATGGACAGCAAATAATAATTTTACTATTACTATTCCGTTTCACGTTTCATATTTTTTATTCAGCATACCTGTTCTATAAAAATAATTTTAAATTGGAACTAAACAACCCTTTTATATCCGATACAATTTTATGCCCAAACATAATAAGGGTGAGTCAGTTTTTTGTGGTAGGATTTTAACAGTTGATAGAGATTCATTTTTTAATAAGAAAAGTTCCTATAAACGTAGGTCTTAGAACGCTTCGTTTGTGAGATATAGGGCGTGGTGTTGAAAACAAACTTTTTTTAAGAATTTTTCTTAATATCTTTAAAAGACCAACAGATATTAAACTGAAATTTGGTATTAATAATACATTAGTTATGTTGAATAAAGCAAAGATATCTGTTATCCATTTCACCCACCAGTGACGTGCCTGAGGTGGGTTACTGCCCCCTTTAAAAAGTAAATATTACGCCCGTGGATTTTTCTGGAAAATAACATCATTTCTAAACTTTTTAATCAATTCTGAACAAACCAGCTCTCTCAATTTTTTATAAAATTAATTCATTTGGCATGAAACTGTTACAACGATACTGGTACTGCTAATAGGTACATTTGTGAATTAATAAGAAAAATATGATGTGAAAATCAACAAAAACGATTGAATGATTAATAACAGTTGATAGAGAATTTTTTAATAAGAAAAGTTCCTATACACATAGGTCTTAAAACGCTTCGTTTGTGAGATATATGGTGTAGAAAACAAACATTTTTAAGAATTTTTCTTAATATCTCTAAAAGACCAACAGATATTAAACTGAAATCTGGCATGAAAAAACAAACAGAACTTAACAGAAGAACTAATTGACACACACGTTACACAATTTTCGCGTTCTTATGTCAACGTTATGACATTTAATCGTTTTTGATGATTTTCAGGGTACATCATATTTTTCTTATTACAAATGTATTACCAATTAGACCAGTGCTTAAGCCTTCGAAAATGGTAAAAAGTGAAAAAAAATTATAGTAGGATGAAACCCATTGGAAAAGGAAGAGAATATAACAGAAATGAAAAGAAAAATAATTTACGGGCGATCTGAGGTCGGGAAGGGGAAGGGAGTGAGTTTTTAAGGGTAAAAAACGGTTTCCCTTGATTTCCAGAAAAACTATAAGTCTTATGGAAAAAAGTTAAATGGCAAAGTTGTAGGTAATAAAAAGATGTACAACTTTTGTATTTACACTTTTTTCACATAACCTCAAAATTTATGTGAAAAATTCAAATAACCAAGTTTTTGGTTTTTTATTTCTCTTACAAAAAAAAAAAGTTTCACGAAATTTGGTGAAAACTTACCTATTTATGTCCCAAACACGCTGTAATTTTTTTGATTTGAAATATTTATTTTTTCACCTTATTTTTACTTAATATCGAAAAACCCTAATTTTCAATCGAAAATTCTCACGTCAAAATATCTGCTTTTTTAAAAACGTCGGTGGGCTTTTTCTTCGTTGAAATCTCTACTTTCTGATGGTGTAAAAAAATATACATTACTATGGTAAGTTTCCTCAGGAAATGCAAAGAAACGAAAAAACTAGAATCCGAAAATTTTTTTCTAATCATCATGTACAATTTTGAGCTATTTATTTTCCGTAGGTCACTCAGGTATATAAGATATCAGAAAATAGCTTTAAAGACGATTCTACAACTGTCTCAAAATATTGTAGATGTCTTATTAAATATTAACTTTATTAACTTATTTGGTTGTTAATTATAGTAGTATATTTCGACTTGTAATTTTTTTGTTTATCAATGTAACATGGAATCTTACGTTTTTCGAGTAATTAAAGTGTAAATTTTAATAAATAGCTCAAAATCCTACAAAATTGATGTTTCGTGATAATATAACTTTTCCTCTTTTGGGCAATAATGACAACTATTTCTTATTTGATAGGTACTATTTGGAAGTTTTTGGGCCTCTTGTAGAATTTTGATTAGATGAGCGGTTTGGGTACAAAAGAATATTTTTTAAATGTATGCGTGGTTACAGTGGTTTGGTCTTCAAGTG